CTGAAACACACTCAAGGATACACACACACACACACACACACTGACATACAGAACGACTAAGAGTATGCGTCTTGATGATGCTCATTGCTCTCTGTTTGTGTGTTTCTCTCTGCAGGCCACGGATAATGACATTGGCACGTTTGGAGTGGTTCGGTATTACTTCAGCGATGAGCCAGACCAGTGAGATTATCATTCATTAACATACTGTGACCTTTCACACTGATACAGCATCCTGTTTAATTCATTAATTTCCTCTGATTAATTTAATCCACATCCCTGTAGATTTGCATGCCTTTCTTTCCTGTTTCCTTAGACTGATTCTGTGGCTGTGTTTGAAATTGAATACTAGCATACTGTTTACTGCATGCTACACAGTACAAATTGTATACTGTCATACTATTTTTATGTTGTTGTTTTTTTATTGATAAAACATTATGCAACAACAAAAATAGTAGGCTTTTATTGCATTGTCTCATGACATCACCATATTAAACACTTAATTCAATGAGCAACATCCAGTTATCAGCTAATTTCAGTAATAAAATGGTTGTTGCATTTGTATTTTTATGTATTATTGTTTATAAATAATTTTATTTTATTGAAAACATTTATTTATTGTGAAAAAATGTATTTTGGGAGCCCGGTCAAGTTTTGTTGGGAGTCAAGAAACAGATTTTAAAATGCATTATTTTACAATTACAATTATTCATTTGTTTATGGAAAGGGAGGTTAAAATCAAGCACACTGCATCGTGGGATATTATATACAGTAATATAGTTCACATTTTTGCATATTATACTGAAAATGTAAAATGACTAGGCATTCTGGGTTGCTATGCAGTGTATTATTAACTAAAACTATAAAAAAAAAATCCTTTGCAGTAACTGAAATAATAAATAAATAAATCAAATCAAATCTCAATATTAGATGAACAAAATGTGTATACTGTATATATATATACAGTTTAATAGTAAAAGCCCATAACAAAACTAAAACTTAGTTAAAATTAATGTAATAATAAATAATAAAAAATAAGTAATTTTAAGAAATTAAAATATAAGCTAAAATAATTACTATAATTATGTAGAGTAAATACACCACTTGTCAAAAGTTTGTAATAATTAGAATTTGTTTTTATGTTTTTGAAAAAGGCCTCTTATTCTCACCACTATATTTTTCATCTAATAAACGCAGCCTTGGAGAGCAATATTATACTAATAGTATAATACAAAAAATACATAAAATAAATAAACTACTTACGCTGTATACATACTGCATACTGCTAAAATATGATTCTAATGGTAGTATTCTGTTCTGAACATAACCTTTGCATGATCTAAATCAAGTCAAGTCACCTTTATTGGTACAGTATAGCGCTTTATACAATACTGGTCGTGTCAAAGCAGCTTTACAGTGTTAAACAGGAAAATAGTTTGTCAATAATACAAGACAATAACATTAATTTTTCCAGCCAAAGTCAGTCAGTCTAACAATTTAAAGTTCTCATTTGCTGGTTAATTAATTTGTGTCTTTAATTACGTCTCATGCAACTATTAATCAGTTAATGCTGACTCATTTCCATGTATGAACTCCTCCTCCAGGTTCTCATTGGATGTTGAGACGGGATGGGTGACTCTGCGAGACTGGTTGGATTATGAGCTCATGAGGCGCTTTACTTTAACAATATTGGCCCGTGATGGAGGAGGGGAGGAGACTACAGGACGCCTTCGCATTAACGTGATGGATGTAAACGACAATGCGCCAATCTTCCAGAAGGAGGCGTATACGGGTTCACTTATGGAGAACGAACAGGCTCCACAACAAATAGTCCGAGCCCGGGTGAGAAACATAAAGAGATGTGGAGTTTAGAAAGACAGGCGGAAGAAACGTAGAATGGTGAAATGCTGTTCTCAACACATTTTAATTTCGTAACTGATGTTTGTAGTAAAACAGAATAATTATTCATCGAAAATGTAGGGTGGGGTTTGATTTTGTCCCTCAGGTACTGATAGGATGGTGAAAAGTGGATGCCATGTATCAGAATGGATGGGAAGGGTGGAAAAGTTTTAGGAAGTTTTAGGATGATGTCAGTTGAATGGAGAAGTCTTTTCAGAGAAAAATGCACCGATGAATCAAGCACAATCAAGACCAAGAATGTGAAATAAAAAAAGAGCCATTGAGATGTATGGGAATGTGAACAGCCAGCTCTAATGGACTCCCTGTGCCTGAGCCTGGTTCTGGTGTGTAATTGTGGGTCAGTCGCTCTGTTAGTGTTCAGTATGTCTCAGTTAGTGTTTAATTCTCTCCGCATGTAGACACAGCAGCACTAATTTCAGCCGTCCACTCTAATCTGTGCTGTGATTGACAGTTTGACGGCAGGTGCTGCACTTATCTGAGCAGCAGGTGGCGATGTGTGTTGTTGTGTGTGTCTGCTAGTTCACATGGTTTTTGTAATCCTTCAGTCACATTCACTATACACTCTATAAAATGCTGGGTTGTTTCAACCCAACTTTGGGTCAAATATGGACTAACCCAACTTTTGGGTTAAAAATTTAATGTAAAAATTTAACCCAACGGTTGGGTTAGTCCATATTTGACCCAAAGTTGGGTTGAAACAACCCAGCATTTTTTAGAGCGTACCATTATTTTATTTTTTATTTTATTTTATTTTATTTTTAAATGATACTCGATTAGGACAAAAAGTGATCCGATATTCGAATAAATGTAATGACTTGTATACATTGCCACCTTTAGATTTAACGGTGATGTTGTTTGGTTTTTATCTCTGAAGGGTGAAATACTGTGACTTTGGTGCAGTTTTATTTTTGTATTATTTATGAATACTATAATATATAATTTATTTATAATTTCTATATTTATAAGTTCTTTACTATAAAACTATACTACTATAATACTTTTTTTATTTTCAGTTTTCATTCAAACTTTAGTTTAAATTTGAGTAATTTTGTGCTTTTTGTGTGTGTGTGTTTGGGTAATATATTTATTTTGCTTTTATTTATTTTTATTTCAGTTAGTTGCCAAAATAACATTTCTGATTGCAAGTTTAAGTTTTTGCATCTAATATTTATATTTTACTTTATTTCTGTTAATGATTTTTAATAGTTTTAGTTAATAATAACAACACTGATTTAACACTATGAAAACTCTGCTTTGTTTGCATTATTTTTTACATTTATTTTATTTCTTTATTTAATGCATCATTTTTCCTTTAATTTAACTTCCAATGATTTTTATTTAAGTTAGTTGTCGAGGCAACATTTCTAAGTTTTTTTTTTTTATCTAATATTTAGATTAAATTTTTTTTTCAGCCTGATTTCAATTAATGAAAACAAATTTTAATATTTATAATTTTAGTTAACAATAACAGCATATATAATGCTTATAAAAACACCGCTCTGTTTGTTTGAGTGCTAGATGTTAGCTTCTGGCCCAACGCAGCATAAGCCTGTGGACTGGGTTTCCCTGCTTTTGCCTACAGTGACAGATGAAGGAAGGCGGGGTAGGAGTGTTTAGGGAAACTTGTTTGGAAACAGTCATTACGATAATGATATAATGACCTTCTGTGTCTTGCACGATCCATCAGGACGAAGGTGTAACACAGTGGCACAAAGCACAAAGTCAGCGAGGCACGAAGGCAGAGGACGAGTGTTTGGGGCGGTCCTTATATGCTTAGCAGGACCAATCACAGCCGTCAACTGGTTAACGGAGGCAACACCCATCTGAAACACAAACACGTCTATGCACACACACACACACACACACAGATCATAAATAGAAAAGGATAGTTGAAATAAACACACATGATATCTCAGGGACAAAACAATATTAAAATATATTATTACTGATCCCAAACTTTTCAGTGTTAGTGTATGTTAAAAACTACAGCAGGACAGATGAACTCTTTAATTTATGTTGTATCTTAAAGTAGTAGAACCGTCTTTTAATTTAAAGAAATATTTCGGATTCAATACCAGTTAAGCTCAATTGACAGCATTTATTGCGCAATATTGATTACAACAAAAAATAACTTTGACTCATCTACGGTTTTATAATAAATAAATAAAGGTTACTATGAGGCACTTAGAATGAAAGCAAATGGGGCCGATTATTGGAGGATTTAATAGCAGATATTTGATGCTTTTATATTTTAGAAAGTTGCTTACATGAATTCTTCTGTTTAAAACATATTATTTAAGCTGTAAAGTTGTTTTTGACAGTTGTTGTCATGGCAACAAGTTGTAAAATTAGATAGAAATGTTGCCCTAAAATCATATTAACACATCATATTATCTTATCATATTACCTTATTGTAACAGTGAGTATTTTATCGTTTACAGATTGTTACACTTCCATTGCAAGTGACTCACTGTAATGGTAAATGTAGCTTTTTTATAGAAAAAGTCTAAATTAATGTTACGACACATGTGATTGAGCTCAACTTGTAACCTGGAATATTCCTTTAACTTCATCTTTGGATCTGGTGAAAACAAAGATTACCCAGAACCGTCATTTCAGGTTCAAGTTCCTCACACACTAACAAACAAACACAGTTTGGTGTTGTGTGATCTGTGTGTTAATTCTGAATTCATTGGTTTTCTCTGAGGTCCATTGACTAGAATGGTTAATCCATGGATAATTTCTCTCTGACATTTCTCTGCTCTTTTATTATGATTCCGATTAGACACATTTCGTCGGAAAAACAGCAGGGGTTTCACACATCCACGTCTGTGTGTGTATGTGTTATTACTGAACGTTGAGCTGAAATGAAGTGGTAAAACAGTGTATGCATCTGATATTGAATAATTGCCCATCGCCACAGCCTGTGAGTTTCCATTAAACCCCCAAAGCACTCCATCAATACATTTAATTATAACCAAAAGCTGTTTTTTCCCTGTGTAAAATTAATGAGTTGATATTTAAAGACTTTTTAGAGACCTAAAACATTGATTTCCTCCCTCCTTCGCTCTGCAGGACGAGAATGACAACCCACCCGAGTTCAGCCTCCCGTCTTACATCGTCAACATACATGAGAATATCGTTGCAGGTACATTTACAATTCTATTATCAAAAAATGGAAGAATACATCAACATGTAGCACATGTCCAGTGCTCAAAACCTCATGACAACATAACTAGATTCCTGTCAGTGATGATTTACAATGTTCAGCCAGCTGTGCACTAGTTCTGTTCCACACTAATATAATGTTTTGTGTGAATAAGTGCTGTTTTCCCAGAGTTAGGACAAAGGCTTTTGGTAGTTTTGTTTCAGTTCTGACCGTCCAAAACCAGAACCAAAGAGTTCAAATACTCCCCAGAGAATCTGGTTAGAGGTTCATTCTAAACCTGTTATTAAAACCTGAACTGCTTAATACCAAAGACTATAGAATACCCAAGACGTGTCACTCATAAACTGCGTCCCAAATGGCGGACTATACACTGTGCACTCATACACTATGTACTTATGTACTCAACCATGTATAGTATGAATTATATAAGGTTATTTTGTCATTCATAATCGGAGTCTCATAGCCCCTCCCCCTTCAGTACATAATTAAAGCTGCGACAATTGAGTGCATGAAGTGTCCAACATTCCACACTTAATTTTTTCGGTTATTTAAGTGCATCATCTGGGTATTTAAAGTGCACTTTTTCTTTTTGGAATTTTCAGTGTGAACATACTACTCACACTATTTATACTACAAAACGTCATAGAATAGTGCATAAGTATGCGATTTGGGTCGCACCTATATAGCTTTGAATGGAGAAAAATGCAACGCTCAATATGGCCGCTCTATCGAACGAAGCCCCGCCTTTTAAAACCTGAACTGCTTAATACCAAAGACTATAGAATACCCAAGACGTGTCACTCATAAACTGCGTCCCAAATGGCGGACTATACACTGTGCACTCATACACTATGTACTTATGTACTCAACCATGTATAGTATGAATTATATAAGGTTATTTTGTCATTCATAATCGGAGTCTCATAGCCCCTCCCCCTTCAGTACATAATTAAAGCTGCGACAATTGAGTGCATGAAGTGTCCAACATTCCACACTTAATTTTTTCGGTTATTTAAGTGCATCATCTGGGTATTTAAAGTGCACTTTTTCTTTTTGGAATTTTCAGTGTGAACATACTGCTCACACTATTTATACTACAAAACGTCAGAATAGTGCGTAAGTATGCGATTTGGGACGCACCTATATAGCTTTGAATGAAGAAAAATGCAACGCTCAATATGGCCGCTCTATCGAATGAAGCCCCGCCTTCTGAGCAAAAGAGCCAATCGCTAATCGGTAAAGTCATCGCGTCACTGCAGCTGCCGTTAGAAGTCCCGGTTGCTATAAAAACAGTACGCTGTTCTGAGATGTGCGCTTAGGACTGTGCATGCGCACTGGTGGGTCTAGCCTGAGAAATAAGCTTTTTACAACGCTATTTGAGCAAAATAAACAACATTTATGATACAGTTGTTGTCAGATTTCATTGGTGATTTCAAATATGAAATTTAATCGTAAGCTTGGCGACCAGTTTTGGAGAATTTGATGTCTCCCCATTCAAAGAGATAGAAGCTGTACTTGCATGCCCGAGAGGCTTTTCAAAGAGAGCCGCCGAGTGACATGACTTGCCTTAAAGGGACTTCGTTAATGCACAGGCTCCATTCGCACTTTGTTTTGGATATGTTTTTATGCTTATTTTATTTTATAAAATCTCCCACTATTTGCCAGTGATGTTGTCATTTGTAATGTTTTGTTTTTGTTGTCATCGTTTATTTTTTATTTTATTTATTTATTTTTTGAAAATCTCCCACTATTTATCATTGAGTATCATGTGAGTAATACTGCTCATTGTAGTATTTGTTTACTGAATTCCGTCTTTTTTCCTATGTCTATTTCTATAATGATTTGTTATTCGACTTGTCTTTCTTGCATTTATTCAACCATCTATCGAGTGCAACTCCTTACAAATGGAGAAACAATATATTTTTTAATGAATTAACAATGTTGATTCTCATTCACACCAGACAACTAAACAAACTACATGACAAGCACTGGTGTTTTCTTCAGAAAATGCAAATTTAGTTTGTTCAGCTACAGTTTTTTTTCTTCTGTGTGCTGCATTATTGTGGACACACTACAAAACTCCTTCAAGATATTTTTTTCTGTCTTGTTTTTTTTTCTTTTCCTTTTATATCATTGTGTTTTAATTGAGCAAGAAGGTTTTGTGCAGAAGAAAAGTACACGATTCTCATGCATTTTTTCACTCAATGCTTTTATTCCACACAATAGACTCACCTCCAATCATCAAAGGGGAAATTACATTTGCTGTGCCCAGCATCTGTTGTGCGCTTGTGTGTGTGTCACTGGTACTGAACGCACTCTGATAATCCTGAAATCCATAACCCTGTCTCCATCAATGCACAGCACTGCACACTAACCACTTCCTGTCTGAAGACCATCCCTGTCTGTCACCTCATCTGTTTTTTCCTCTTCGTACAGCTGTCTGTCTCACACATTTATTATCTGATGGTTTGTTTATATCCTCATACCTTTTTCTTTTATCTCTCTCTCTGTCAGGAGCGACAGTATTGTTTGTGAACGCCACAGACCTGGACGCGTCTCGGGAGTTTGGTCAGGTCTCTCTCATCTATTCCCTGCAGGGCAGCTCACAGTTCAGACTCAACACTCGCTCAGGTGGACAACAGCACACACATTCACACCTGCCTTTTAACCCTCATGCTCTTTTAGGGGTCTCACAGACCATAAAGGCCCTTTTAAATAACTCAGATAACAGTTAATAACAGTCTATCTATCTATCTATCTATCTATCTATCTATCTATCTATCTATCTATCTATCTATCTATCTATCTATCTATCTATCTATCTATCTTTTTCCAGATTGCATAAAATGAGTATTTATTTAATTTCTGCAATTCATTTTCTAATAAAGGCACAAACCCTTCCAAAAGAAGTCGAAACAAAAAGGTTGAGGTTCTTAAACGGGTGGTTGATTGCGATTTCCCTTTTTTAACGTTAGTTAGTGTGTAATGTTGCTGTTTAAGCATAAACAATATCTGCAAAGTTACGAAGCTGAAAGTTCAATGCAAAGGGAGATATCGTCTTTTAAAAATCTGTCAGTTTAATGCCTACAAAAATGGCTCGCAGGGACTACAACAAGTTACTTCCCGGGTTCGTGACGTAACAAACCCAGATAAACCCCGCCCTCTGGAAAAGGCAGTAAAGGGGGCGGGGCCATGCTGCGCTGCTTTAGAGAAGAGGAAGAGAAAACTAGAGGTGCACGTAAAAATCTATTCATATATGAATCGCGATTCTGTCTTCTAATGATTCTAATGGATTCACAAGTTTCAAAATCAATGTTCTAAACCAGCGGTTAATACTGTTCCTCGTTTTCCCCTGCTCTGCACATGCTCTGCATCTCTCTGTCTCATTCAGCTCAGCTCCAACAATGAACGGTTCCAGTTATACACTTATTTTCACATAGCTATGAGAAGCGTTAAACATGGTAAAACGTTCAGTTGCCGTACTGTATTAAAGCTTTAATCAGGATAAAACCGTATATTAAAAGCTAACATAAGCAGTAGCATTTACAAATAACAGCATATCTAAACGTATGAGACAACAACAAACAAAAAACATAGGCCTACCATTAAAAGCTGTGCTTGCACAGGTTCTGCACAATCCTCTTCAATAATATCCTCTGCTTCTCAATCGGGCTCAAACTGATAAGCGATATTAACGACTCTGTTGTTTACAATACAACCGGAGCACATTTAGACGTTTAGACGCACGCTAGAGGCGGTTTAGCCAACCACAACACACGGGGCTAGCTAACCAATCAGAGCCCATCACCTATTTCTGAGGGCGGGGCTTCATAAAAGCAGGAAATGATCAGCGCGTTTCTCAGAGAAGGGATAATAAAAGTAGTGGTGTGGAATAAAGGTAAATTATGTGAAAAATAATGCGTTTTTTTTTTTTAAACAACGCATTAACACATGTTAGACTGCACCCCATAAACACAATCAAGCTTAGAAAAAAAAACAGTGAACCACCCCTTTAAACAGAAATGTTTAATTCTACATATTATATAAGGCATATTTTAATAGTGTTTACTGTGCCGTTTTTACGTGGTGCCAAATAAACAGAATTTGCATGTGCATGAAGATATTAGGCATATTAATATAGCCGGCTGCTTGCACACTTTACGTTAGGATTCTTATTGAACTGTTTATTGAAAACACATAAATAAGTGCTCTCATTCTTTCTCACTTAGTATAGTTATAGTAATTATTATAAATTTCCATTTCACAAAACAACTCTTTGTTTTGAAAGCTTCCTGCAAAATAACGCTTTTCAACAGGTGTCAATACTCCAGGTAGCCCCGCGCATATTTTAATAGTGTTTACTGTGCCGTTTTTACGTGGTGCCAAATAAACAGAATTTGCATGTGCATGAAGATATTAGGCATATTAATATAGCCGGCTGCTTGCACACTTTACGTTAGGATTCTTATTGAACTGTTTATTGAAAACACATAAATAAGTGCTCTCATTCTTTCTCACTTAGTATAGTTATAGTAATTATTATAGATTTCCATTTCACAAAACAACTCTTTGTTTTGAAAGCTTCCTGCAAAATAACGCTTTTCAACAGGTTTCAATACTCCAGGTAGCCCCGACCCAAACTGATGCCATTGGTTGATTGAACGTTTTTATGTGTGGACCACTCAATCAAAATTGCAACTTTAAATAGATAGAAACAACAATATTACTATGTACATTATCAGTTTCAGTTGAAACTATCTTCAAGTCTCATCCAGCCGCCTGGAACAGGTTCATGTGTGTCTGAGCTGAATATGACCATATGTGTATGTAGGAGAGATCACCACCACAGCTCTTCTGGATCGAGAGATGAAGTCTGAGTACATTCTGATCGTAAGAGCCGTTGATGGAGGGGTGGGACCACAGCAGAAAACCGGCATCGCTACGGTAAAGGCTGACTCTTTGATCCACCTCAGACAAACGACATCAACTATGAGAGCCACTGCATATTACTAGACAGAAGAATTGTTTATTGTGACTATTATCATTAATACATTTAATTATTTATTGAAATTGGGTGTCTATTATGGTTGTCTACTGTTCATTATATTTTAAAGCAAAGTCACCCGAAGCAATGCATTATTATGTTGCGTGTATCTGTCCACTGCAGGTGAACATCACTATTCTGGACATAAATGATAACGCCCCCATGTGGCGAGATGAGCCGTATCAAGCGAATGTTGTGGAGATGAGTCCCATCGATACTGACGTTATTACTGTGAGTGCACTGATCTGACCTTTAACCTCTGCACTGACCTTTTGATCTCAGACTGACTTATAAACTATAGACCTGACCTTTGACCTGTACATGAAGGTTGCTAATCATACATTCATGTTTTAGTTCTTCTCAACCATCAACTTATACACAAATATATTAATAACTGAGATGGGTAAATGCAGAGCACTAATTCCTAGTATGGGTCACCATACTTGGCCACATGTCACTTCACTTTTTTTATAAACTATAGACCTGACCTTTGACCTGTACATGAAGGTTGCTAATCATACATTCATGTTTTAGTTCTTCTCAACCATCAACTTATACACAAATATATTAATAACTGATTTTTTTTTTAAGCAATATGTCCTCAAAAATGTTTTTGACAGCTTTGTATGAAGATCAGCCTGAAATTTAAATACTTTTTTAATGATCAATTTCCCTCTCTGGTGCAGCTCTCAGATCTCATTCTCCATTCAGTGTTTGGGTGAAGACATCATCAGTGAATCATGGCTTAAAATTCAGTCTGTTCACAAAAAAAGAAAAAGTATCATATGGCTTTTATCTTTATTCTTTAATGGTGCAAAGTTCCCCTTTTAGAAGTCTAGTTAGACACCAAAAAGTCTAAAATCCCGTCGTATAAAAAGTGTATCGATTACTGTAGATGAAATGATAAGATACAGAAACAGTGGCAGTTTTGAAGCAGAGGTTTGATCCTAATGTCAGCAGGTAAACAGTTAGTACTATTGATTTTGTGAGTGTTAATGTCTTATAGTTTCTCTTTGAGTCAAATCCCCACTGTACCCAGAGGTACAAGTTTCCATCTCCTCTCCGTCTGGAGAAAACCCCCCTGTCCCTGCCTTTGATCGGCTGCAGTTTTGCAGTTGAATTCAAAGTGGGCCCTCACCTCAGTGTCCTTGGAATGTTTTACAGAGATTTCTATATGCTCATATTATTCTACTGCTTGAAGTATGTGAAAATCCCATCTTGAGGGGTATTCCCTCCTTTGGTGAATGAATAAATTATTTCCTATGTTAATGTCAGTCACACCATCTCTACTTTGAGTCTCATATAGCTAGGGACGATTTAGAGCTGGCTAAGGGTTTCCAAAATCTTAAACTGCCATAGGATGGACTATTTTTGATGCATTTCCATGAGTCAGTGTTCACAGGGTTATCAGTCTACCAGGAAACAGCATCATGTTTACCAGGTGGTGAAGTGTGTGATTTATACAGCACTAGCAGCATCAAACAGAATTGCAATAATTACTGTTTTGATGACGAAATCATCAATTAAACTCATAAATTCATGCAGTTTGTTGATTCATTTATGTCAAACTAATTACATCACCTTTAAGGAAGAGCTAGTCTATTGGATTGAAAGATTAGTTGCATGGCATCAAATCTTTTTAAATACATTTTTCTTTGAGGCAATTAGTAAATCACATATGCAGACACAGTTATATGAAATATTCAGTTTTTTCTAAATACATTTTCTGCTACTTTTAAGGGTTGACTGCTACAGTGGGGCAAAAAAGTATTTAGTCAGCCACCAATTGTGCAAGTTCTCCCACTTAAAAAGATGAGAGAGGCCTGTAATTTTCATCATAGGTAGACCTCAAATATGAGAGACAAAATTAGAAAAAAAAATCCAGAAAATCACATTGTAGGATTTTTAAAGAATTAATTGGTAAATTCCTCGGTAAAATAAGTATTTGGTCACCTACAAACAAGCAAGATTTCTGGCTCTCACAGACCTGTAACAACTTCTTTAAGAGGCTCCTCTGTCCTCCACTCGTTACCTGTATTAATGGCATCTGTTTGAACTCGTTATCAGTATAAAAGACATCTGTCCACAACCTCAAACAGTCACACTCCAAACTCCACCATGGCCAAGACCAAAGAGCTGTCAAAGGACACCACAAACAAAATTGTAGACCTGCACCAGGATGGGAAGACTGAATCTGCAATAGGTAAGCAGCTTGGTGTGAAGAAATCAACTGTGGGAGCAATTATTAGAAAATGGAAGACATACAAGACCACTGATAATCTCCCTCGATCTGGGGCTCCACGCAAGATCTCACCCCGTGGGGTCAAAATGATCACAAGAACTGGGAGCAAAAATCCCAGAACCACACGGGGGGACCTAGTGAATGACCTGCAGAGAGCTGGGACCAAAGTAACAAAGGCTACAATCAGTAACACACTGCGAAACTCATCTTGAGGAGAAAGAATGCTGAGTTGCATCCAAAGAACACCATACCTACTGTGAAGCATGGGGGTGGAAATATCATGCTTTGGGGCTGTTTTTCTGTAAAGGGACCAGGATGACTGATCCGTGTAAACGAAAGAATGAATGGGGCCATGTATCGTGAGATTTTGAGTGAAAACCTCCTTCCATCAGCAAGGGCATTGAAGATGAAACGTGGCTGGGTCTTTCAGCATGACAATGATCCCAAACACACCGCCCGGGCAATGAAGGAGTGGCTTCGTAAGAAGCATTTCAAGGTCCTGGAGTGGCCTAGCCAGTCTTCAGATCTCAACCCCATAGAAAATCTTTGGAGGGAGTTGAAAATCCGTGTTGCCCAGTGACAGCCCCAAAACATTACTGCTCTAGAGGAGATCTGCATGGAGGAATGGGCCAAAATACCAGCAACAGTGTGTGAAAACCTTGTGAAGACTTACAGAAAATGTTTGACCTCTGTCATTGCCAACAAAGGGTATATAACAAAGTATTGAGATGAAATTTTGTTATTGACCAAATACTTATTTTCCACCATAATTTGCAAATAAATTCTTTAAAAATCCTACAATGTGATTTTCTGGATTTTTTTTTCTCATTTTGTCTCTCATAGTTGAGGTATACCTATGATGAAAATTACAGGCCTCTCTCATCTTTTTAAGTGGGAGAACTTGCACAATTGGTGGCTGACTAAATACTTTTTTTCCCCACTGTATGTCATTATTTAAACGAACTACAACTTTGTTACTCACTTTGTTGCCATTACTGTGGTATCATTGATTTCAGATTTACCTGCCACTAAATTGGCATATACAGTAGGCGTTGCTTTTTTACTGCATGGTGAGTTTTAAGACAGTAAGGCATTATTTTCTGTAAAGCTGCTTTGAAATAGCATAGATTATAAAAAGCTCTATACAAATAAAAAACACTTGACTTGAAAAGCTGGTCCAGATTACAATTTATTCTGGCCAAGAACCACCCACTTAGACAATAGAGACCATCTGACCTGCTTTTTCTGTGGTCAATTTTATCACAATATTAGACCAGAAATATTGAAAAGCTGTTGCATATAAGTTGGTGGTTTCAGCCAGATCTTGCCATTTTTGCATGCGGTACATCAGATAATCTAAACTGTGGGCAATATCTGTGGGCATGGCATCTGAGGAAAAAGTTAACTAAATGCAAACTTGATGGTTTCACAGTATATTGGAAAAACTGTTGAGTTTATGACGTGGGTTTAGTGTGTGTACAAGTTAAATGTGGTCAGGCTTCTAGAAACCGTGGACTTCAATCCTCTTCATAAATGTTTAGGTGTTTTATTCTGGCTCTTTCTTTGACTAAATATGCCCCTGATTGTCCGTTAATTAGCAAGTCCTGAACTTCATAGGAGGTTCCGATGGCTAATTAAAATGTAGCCCAGAGTCAAGTGCATACTTGATTACCCTGCTGGACACCGTGCAGGAGAGAAAGAGAGAGATAAAACAGAATAAAGGAAGAAATGGGTGGATAATTTAAATCACAGAACAGTGGCTGTAAAAATCACATGTCCTGAAGCGCGTTTGACTTCCACACTCTGGTAGGGGTTCTGAGTCCATCAATCCATTTACTGGGTCAACACAGTGGTATAACGTGGTCTAATCAACCCTTTAAAGTAATAATTCATCAAAAAACACAATTTTCGTCATCATTTACTCTCTATCATGTCAATCCTTTTATCATCTGATGTTTAACATAATTCCCAATTTATTATTTTTCATACAACATACTGTACACTACTGTTCAAAAGTTTGGGGTCAGTAAGATGTTTGAAAGAAGCTCAATTAAGCTTAATTTATTTGATCAAAAATACAGTAAAAACAGTAATATTGTGAAATATTTTTAAGATTAAAAAATTTCTCTGAGTATATTTTAAAATGTAATTTATTCCTGTAAAATAAAATAATTAGCAGCCATTACTCCAGTCTTCAGTGTCACATGACCCTTCAGA